AGAGAGAGAGAGAGAGAGAGAGAGAGAGAGAGAGAGAGAGAGAGAGAGAGAGAGAGAGAGAGAGAGGATGGAGCCCTGCGTAATCTTAGTTCAAATTCTTTGTCTTGACTTAGGTTTTGTGTGTTTTGTATATGAAGGTGGTCTGCTCAACAGATGCAGAGGCATGGTCATGGCTCATGGCGATGGAACGGATCCCTCTGAAGGTAAGCACACTGTGTGTCTGATGTGAAAAGTAGGCAGGGTGTTTATGTGTGTGTGGAAAGAAGGCAGGGTCTTTCCTCGTGCACCTCCTAGTTTGAATCTTCGTATGTAAATTTTAAAAACTTGAGTTTGTTTCTTGTACTTCGACCTTTGAAGTTTGATTTGCTATCAATAGCATGTGATAACAACTTTGAAGTTTGAACTTTTTGACATTTGATCTTGTTCCAGGAGTGGAAGACTGAACTTCGAGCTTTGACATTGGCCTTCTATCAGTGGAATGTCAAATTCTTTGACATTGGCCTTCTATCAGTGGAATGTCAAATTCTTTGACATTGGCCTTCTATCAGTGGAATGACAAAAAAAAACGAATTTGGCGCCGTCCATTAACCATCTCTCCCAGATATAACTTCCAGACTAGCTGGGACCAGACACACACAGGCCGCAACCAGATCCTGGTCGTGCAGATCAAGAAAATCTCAGCTGCTCGAGGAGGCAGCCTGAGGCAGGCTGTTACATGCTGCGCCTGCAACAGGCTGCGCGGGCCATTTGCAGGCCCATGTCATTTTCAGCCTGAAAGCCTGAAAACGAGGGCTTACAGGCCCCGTGTCAGTTTCAGCCTGGAAGCCTGAAAACAAGGGCCTACAGGCCCCGTGTCAGTTTCAGCCGGAAAGCCTGAAAACCAGGGCCTACAGGCCCTGTGTCTGTTTCAGCCTGACAGCCTGAAAAGCAGGGCCTACAGGCCCCGTGTCGTTTCAGCCTGACAGCCTGAAAACAAGGGCCTATAGGCCCTCAGGCTTTAGCCAGAAGCTACCTGGAAACTTCCCGGAAGCTTCCCGGAAGCTTCCTCGGGCTTTAGCCAGAAGCTACCTGGAAACTTCCTGGAAGCTTTCTCAGGGTCTAGCACGTTTGGGCATTGGCAAGAGCAGCCTCCTGGACGGGCCAGCACTATATAAGACTGGCCCGTCCTACAGGCGGGGGCAGTCAGTAGTCTTCAGGATTTGGCAGCAGCACTCTGGAGGGAGCGCTGCAGGAGTAGTAGTAGCGTTAGCATTAGTCTTCAGCGCTGGGCGCAGTAGGTAGCTGTAGTCTTCAGCGCTGGGCGCCATAGCTAGGATAGCACTAGAGGGAGAGAGAGAGATTGGTAGGAGGCCAGGAGTACCTACCTGCAGCGCCGTTGCTCCAGCTTCGTCTTCGAGGTACCTGTAGCACAGCGCCAACTTCACAGGTTAGTATCTGGCTCGTGACAGAGAGAGAGTTCTTCTTCTTCCTCTTCTCAGTCCACCATCTCCCTCTCCCCCTCTCATTATCTGACTTCACTGCATCAGCAGACTAAGAGAGAGAGAGAGAGAGAGAGAGAGAGAGAGAGAGAGAGAGAGAGAGAGAGAGAGAGAGAGAGAGAGAGAGAGAGAGAGAGCGTAATACTTCGTATAGCATACATTATACGAAGTTATACGCTCTCTCTCTCTCTCTCTCTCTCTCTCTCTCTCTCTCTCTCTCTCTCTCTCTCTCTCTCTCTCTCTCTCTCTCTCTCACACACACACCTGTCTCTTATACACATCTAGATGTGTATAAGAGACAGGACTAAGAGAGAGAGAGCTTGGTGACATTGGATCCAGACTCGACTTTTGGGCTTCAGACATTACGACGAGGGATTATTTGGGACTTGTGACAAAGACTTGGTGTTGACGGCATTCCCATCTCTCCCCCTCTCTTCGTCTGATCCCCTCCTCTTCGTCTATGTATGTCTGGACCTGGCGCTTTCTTCCTGTGTACAGCGCCAGCCTCCTTCACACCTTGTGATGGACACGATGTATGTTTGGTCTGCGTTCAAACATTGATTGGGCTAGTCATTAGCATTCTAGCATCCTGCTTCGCTATCTTATACTACGTGAACAAGGTCAGTCCCGGTCAGGTCAGGATTTGTATCTAAGTCTTCCCTGCGCTATTCAGCACCATTTTGTATGTATCGGAATGCACATTGCTTGTTGAGATTCTACTTGCACTGCATTGTCCATTCAGTCCTTTTCATCACATTGCGGATCCTTGGTTCTTACGTACATCGCCCAACTGGGCATGTAACACAGGCCGAGGCCCAGTCAACGATAGGAAAACAGGCCCTACCTCAGCGCGATCATTCATTCTGTCTGGGCGAGTTGATACTGGAGCTCCTGCGCTGGAGGAGACTAACATCAGGCGGAAAAGAAAGAGAAGCGAGGCAATCATAGCCAAACGAATGCTGCCTGTGGGAGGTGCTGCCTTCATAGCTGTAGGACATTGAGGGAGAGAGTGAGGACAGAGGGTTGGGGTTGACATCTGGCAAGTGGGGAGAGAGAGATGATGACCGGTTGTCTTCTGACCGATGTTCTTCATGGTTGTTGACTTCTCTGCTCTACAAGGTATGCCGCATTGTCATTTTCAGGCTTGTGTGAGCTAGTGCTTGCTTTAGTGAGCAGTGCTGTCGTGGGGAGGGCTTGGAGACAGAGAGAGACATTGCAGACTAGTGTGGCGAGATAGAAGCAGTGTTGGGCAGAGGTGGCAACTAGGTAACCGTTGCCCGTACCCGACCGTTTCCAACTGTAACCGGCAGGTTATGGGCAGGTATGGGTACCCTTCCGGAGGGGGGCATCGGCATGGGCAGGCATACATTTTATTTGTGGATTTCAGGGCAGGCACGGTTGCATTGCGTGGAGATCACGGGCAGGCATGGGCGGGTACTGGCGGTGAAAAGGGAAAAACCGCAGGTATGGGTGGCCAAGAAAAAGAAAAGCATGGGTACAGCCATTATAGGGTGGTGAAAAAACAATCAGATGGGTATGGGTGTGTAAGCAACTCTGTCGGGTAACCGTACGTAATATCCACCTTCCCCCCCCTTCCCCATCTTCCCCCCCCTTCCCCATCTTCCCCCCCCTTCCCCCTATTCCCCCCCTTCCCTTCTTCTCAGGAAATATGCAGACTGGCGGCGCTGTTTTTTTCTTAGGCACAATTTTTTTTCCTGGCGCGAACAGCGAGAAAAATATTTCAGGAAAGAGCCTCCCAACTTCGAAATTGGCCACTTTCGAAATTGGCCACTTTCGGAATTGGCCACTGTCAAAATTGGAAGGCTCCAGCCTCGCCTCAGGGAGTTCCCCCTTGGAAATCGGGGGGCCGTCATGGTTGTACCCGCCGCCCTTCTGTGTGTGCATGCCACTGCATGGCCATCGTCCGCCCGTCTTGGTTGTACCCGCTGCCGTTTTGTGTGTGCTGCATGGCCATGAGAGAGAGAGAGAGAGAGAGAGAGAGAGAGAGAGAGAGAGAGAGAGAGAGAGAGAGAGAGAGAGAGAGAGAGAG